TTTTGCCATCTCTCTGACAACTTGAAAATTCCACGCTCGTAGAAAATCTGATCCTTTTCGGCCAAAAACTGAGTTAAGTGAGATTTTACAGCGTCATCGTCATTAAAAGTTTTACCACGAAGGGAGTTGTCCAGGGATCGAAATAAGTGGTAATCCGATGGCGCGAGATCAGGGCTATATGGTGGGTGTAACATCAATTCCCAACGAATATCCATCAATTTTTGCCGAGTGGACAAAGACGTGTGCGGCCTAGCATTGTCCTGGTGGAAAATGACACCTTTACGATTGACCAATTCTGCTCGCTTTTCCTTGACCGCTGCATTCAATTTGTCTAGTTGCTAACATTCACGGATAATAAAAAATAACATAATAACAATAATAATAATAATTTTGTAATATAACATTCACGGATATCATAAAAATGGGAGTGAGAGACATCTATAACTGAAATCGGCAATTAGTTGCTAACCCAATAGTTACATCAACAAGTGGAACACAGTGTGAAAATATTCTAAATTTCTTCTAATGTCTTTACGATTTTGTATTTTACCTAGTCATTTTTGTCAAACAGTGCATAAAATCCGCAGTCTAGTTACGACCGTGAACAATAAAAAAAGGGAGGCTGCAATGATCATCGCTGCTTGCTTCGCGTTTAAAGAATTGCCCACTCGGTAACCTCGCGGCAGCTTATTAACACCTGACATCATGAATGGTAGTGCAAAAAAGATCTGGTTTAACGATCCAGCATTTCGATCGACAGATATTGCGCTGATTCACTGGCGGGAATTATGCGGAAGAGAAATTGGTTTTCGCCGCGGACACGGAACAAGAATGTCTGCTCGATAATCGTGTTCGACGAGCGCCGCAATAGACAAGATTATTTGAATGAAACGTAATTATCTGCGTTGAACGGTGGATGCGATCCCTCCGGCTATTTTTTTCTCTGTTCCCAGATATTGTTTCCATTGTTCCCCGTTTCTTTGACAGATATCGGCTGAGCATTGTGCAACGGCGAGTGGCGCGGGTACTCTTCCGATTCGTCATCATCTCCACAACGCCGTTCGAATCTACGCATCCCCGAAACAACAGATTTCCCTTTCGCAACTGGTACACACCATGTGGCGGATGGACACGGATTGTTTGCTCCTTAACATTTCGAATCGCCGCCCATGCGTATCAAATCCCAAATTTTCTCCGACAATTCAAACCCCCGGCTCCTCCTCCGTTGCGACCGAGATCGCTCGAACGGAAATCCATTCTCTCCGTGAACTCGCAGTGACTATCAAAGCAGTGGTTTTTCACATTTGTCGTCTTCAATTTGCAACTGACCTGTATAATGCAGGGTCAGTCGATGAGCGGTACATAGTCAGACAAATTAAAATTAATCCCAAAACCAGTGTTCCAAAGTTAACAAAGGATGTGTCTTTAAGAATTAAACAAACCATCTTTACGGAAACTGTTTCCAGAGTCCTACGTGATAAAGGGTATCACGGTAGAATAGCGAGGAAAAAAACCTTACATTTCCAAGATAAACCGGCGCCAAGCGTTTGGAATTCGCAAAACAATATGTTAATTGCGATGAAGGTTTTTGGATTAATATAATATTCTTGAATGAAGTTAAAATTAACTTATTTCATTCAGGTGATAGAATAATTGTTTGGCGAAAATTGAACGAGGAGTTCATCAAGAACAACATGATTCCAAAACTCAAGGACGACGGGAGTTCGGTCATGTTATGGGTATGTATGACAGCCAACGGAGTTGATAACATTGAATTTATTGAAAATACTGTGGATAAGTTTAAATATCTCGATATTTAAAAAAGAAAATTTTATGTCTTCGGCTGAAAAATTGCAAATGCCACTGGTATATTACTTCCAACAGGACAATGATCCGAAACATTTGTCGTATGTTATCCAGGAATTCTACAAAGAACTTTACAACGTTCCAAAGTTATTAAAAAATCCACCCACAATCACCGGATATTAATCTGTGCACCCGTGGCAGGAATTAAAATCAAAATTGAGTGATCGTAGATTTAGCAGTAAATCAGACGCAAAAGTTAAGATTGACGAAATATGGAAGAATATTCCAAGTTTAACAACAAGAAAAGTAGTCGAGTAGATGCCTAGGCGTTTAAAAGTAAAATATTAAAACTACGTTTAAATTTATTACTTTTGTATAGTATAATATCTGTACGAAATATCTAAATAATATCTGTAGAAATATATCTAAATAAAGTATATATTTTATGTTACTTTTGAAAATGTCCATTTTTGTTTATTTTCCCGCCAATTGTCATTGCCAACTTAGGTGTACGCTGAATTTTGTAAGTAACTGTATATCGAAATACACGGATTTTCATACACGTGGACATATATACTGGAATACACGTGAACATTAATTACACGTGTACACGTGATAATGAGATACACGTGAAATAGAGATTACTAATATCGATATTGTATTAGCTTGGCTCGAAAAACCAAGCAGTGTCAAGACAAGTATTTAAAAATACTTTCAAGACGAGATCGGGACTGTTTAAAATACGCATATTATCAATTGTTTTTAAAATAGTTCTATTATTCATCTCTATTGAATATTTACAGGCAACATAAATAATCGTAACAGAATTAATTTTAATGAAAAAGCTATTTATTGAAAAAAAGGAAACAAACACGAAGCTAACTAATATTACGGGTGATGGTTCGGAAGCAGCGGTAAGCACAACTACACGCCTCGCTCGTCCGCAGGCAACTAACAAAAGAACAAAATTTTTGGCCGTAGAAGCCTCAAAAATGGCAACGCAGTGTGAATGGACCATATGCGCAGAGGAATGCGGGTCTACGCTTGTCTATTGTTTAAGGACATGTCCAGGTAGGCAGTCGTCGCACTTTCTCGCCAGATGCGACGCAGCCCATCACAACAATATAATACCAAAATTTAAAATATTATGTTCCTCGCAGGGACAACCTTCAGCAATTTCGTACAATATAATTATTTTAGACNCAAATGAGGTCGAAAGGAAATTTTAGGATTATTTTCGTAAAGGTATCTTGTCCAGGTAGGCAGTCGTCGCACTTTCTCGCCAGATGCGACGCAGCCCATCACAACAATATAATACCAAAATTTAAAATATTATGTTCCTCGCAGGGACAACCTTCAGCAATTTCGTACAATATAATTATTTTAGACAAATATTTATTCGAATTGTTTCGAATACTCTGCGTAGCAGTAATCGCGGTATTGCAGAAACGTGAGCAACCAGGACGAGAGACGCATTTAACGGAGAAGCAAACAGTTTCCATGAGTTACTCGGCCCGCTTTGTTTTTCCTTCTGCTCTTGTTTCAATGCGAACGGTTCAGGAAGAGATTACAAATGGCACACATTCGCGGAGGAAAGTGCATACACAGGTATTCATCTATACTCGTTCCGCCACTCCATCATAAACTTGAGAAGACACGCTCTGTATTTGCCCTGGTCTACCATAAGTTTTCCTTTGTTACACTCACAGATTCGTGACTGACCTTTTTAAAGGCTAATCAGGGAAGTCGATGCACCTAAGTAGGTTGAATCATGAGTAGATGATACTACCGACCACGGCTATTCGGAGTCAATTTGCTACAATGTCGTATCCAGAATCTTGATATGATATAATTTGATTAATACGAATATTTTTATTAATAATCGTACGATTGCGGAATTCTGCAATTTGTTTCTGAATTTCCTACGACAATATCTTCTGTAGGAAATACTGTAACATAGCGAACTTTTGTACGATAAACTTGTGTCTTTATAGTCGAGAATCTTTGGCAACTTTCATTTTATTCTATTTTGAAAATTGGTTATAGTTTGATACATAAGAGTCTATAGTTTATGGATAATATATCATTAATGATTTAACCCTCTTCTACCGGTTAACGTCATTACAAATGCCATTAAATAACCATTAAAAATAGATTCTTGCAAGTAAAGATATTATAAACTACGCGCGCATTAA